TGTACCCTTCCACACCCATAGACACACCGTTAAATACACACACCCTCACACAGACATGCCCAACTTCTCAAACATCTTTACACATGCTCCATACACATACACCCTCACATGCACACTTTCGCACATACCCTAAATACATCTTTGCATGCACGTAACCCTCACACACACCCCCACATACATACTCCCTATACATATACCCCCTCATATGCACACTCTCAACATAGCTTCTCAGATACCCTTAAACACATTTTTACACATACACAGCCCTCACACACACAACCTCACACACTACACACACATCCTCATATGTACACACTCAACATAGCCTCACACACACCCTTAAACACATCATTGCATGCACATGCCTCACACAGGCACACCTGCACACACACACTCATGCACAACCTCACACACATTCCCCAGCAATCCCTCACATGCACACAAACTCTCATACACAGACGTCCCACACACCCTCCCATGTGTTTGCTCTCACACACAGCCTCACACATATGCACACAATCTCTCACACACACACCTCTCACACATATGCACACACACTCACACTCCTGACATCCACACATTCACCCCCCCCAGAGCCTCACACACATCGTGTCCTTCAAATTAGACAGCCACTTTGAGGGGTTCAGCATCCCTGCTTCCCCAGCCACGCGGTGGTGGAGAACAGAGTGTATGCTTACTCTGTAGCCAGGTCTCTGCCCCACGGATGCCCAGAAACTGCTCCTTCTGGGCTGCCAATGACCACACGGAGCCAAATTTCAATGGACACCTACATGCTCTCATTCTCCTGACCCCTGGGTGATGTCTCTCTTTCTTCCCTGTCTTTGGTATCCCCCCATCATGAACTTTGAGCTCCTCAAGCAAAGGGGCCCTGTCTGTCTTATTCACATGTGCATCCTCCAATCCCAACAATCAAGAAGTATTTGCTGAATGAGATGGAACGAGGGTGTGAGGCGTGGAGAAGGAGGTGGTCTACCTAGGCCAGGGCTCAGGGCTATGGGCAGGGAGAGGATGTGGGGGTGCCCTGCTCAGTCAATTCCAAGGCTTCCCTCCCTCCTCAGCTCTCGTCTCAGCCTTGGGCCCCTCCTGAGCCAGGTCCTCCTCCCCACATACATCCCATCCTTGCCTCCTCCCAAATGACCCCAAGTTCTGGTAACATTTGGGACCTTCCTCCAGCAGGCATTTCTGACTCACCTCTCAGGGCCTCCCAGGTCCCTCTGGAGTCTGGTGGGAAGGGACCTAGCTTCGTTGGGAACCCAGGCCTTCTGTGATACAACCCAGCTCCAATACCCCCACACCAACACCACCATCTTCTTCGCCCCCATAATTACTACGTGCAGGAACTGGGCTATGCGAGTTACACACAAGTCTTCCCAACCATCTGGAAGGAAGGCCCTAGTGGCTGCCACATCCTACACTTAGGGAAACAGAGCCTCTAAGAGCAAAGTCACTGGCTCAGGGTCAACAACGGGCAAGTGGTGGTGCTGGGATTTCAACTCAGGGCCCCAGCTCTTCCTGGCCAAGTTTCCTCAATTTCCCACACTGGGTCTAGAACCCCCTTCTTGGTTTCCCCATCCAAGTAATGCGCCTTCCTTGCTATCCTCATCTGTCCCCTCACCTGTCTCCCCCACTGAGGGAACTACTCAGGGGCAGTGGAGCAGACGATCATGGTGCCTTTTCCAGGCCAGGGCAATGACTCAGCTGGGAATTGCCTTAGGTAAGGAAGCTGGCTTGCTGGGAGATGATGACACCCCCCATCCCCACCTCCCCAACTGGGAACAGCCTAAGTCAGTGACTGATTGACACAGGCATACAAAAAAACAGCCCCCTTTTGTTTTCTATGCCTACTATTTCATCAGGAGATCCTAGACCAGTGCCTGGCACATAGCAGGAGCATAGTGAATGTTTGTTGAATGAATAAATAAATGTCTCATCTTCCCCTAACTTAGACATCTGCGTTTCTCAATTCATACCCAGATCTCTAAATCTTCAAGGCCACTCTCTCCTTACCTGCCAGGTATCCTCACCTGCCATGTTCACCCTGGCTGGCCTTGACTCCATAGCAAAATGCTTTGTCAGCTGCCTGTACACCTCAAGAATTCAGCCACATACAGGGGGTGAGAGGGAGCCTGAGCTGAGGGAGTTGTAAGACCACCATCATAGCTCAACCTGCAATACTCTGCTTTGATCAATTTCCACAAGATTTTGTTTAGACGAAAATGCTCTGCTCCTGCAAAGACAGAGAAGCCCTTTGGTGTGTTGTGCTTTCCTTCTGCCCCACCCACTCCCTTGGCGGGGAACACACCCTCCCTCACGTTGCCTCATCCAAATTTTGTAGAAAATTGCTTCTGTCCCATCTAGACTGGAACTCCTCAAGGAGAGCTGTGGCCTAGAGGTTGAAAGTGTGCACTTTGGAGTCACAAAGATCTTGGACAAGTTATTTCGCCCCTCCTAGCCTCCGTGTCTGTAGCTGTAAAATGGGGAAGTAATAGAACTAGTATCTGAGCACTGGGCAAGAGTTCAATAAGACTAATCATCTCAGGCCAGCGCAGTGGCTCACAGCTGTAATCCCCGCACTTTGGGAGGGCAAGGCAGGACAATCACTTGCGCCTGGGAGTTAGAGACCAGCCTGGGCAACATGGCGAACCCCATCTCTACAAAAAATACAAAAATTAGCTGGGCATGGTGCTGTGCACCTGTAATCCCAGCTACTCGGGAGGCTGAGGTGGGAGGATCACTTGAGGCTGGCATGTTGAGGCTACAGTGAGCCGTGATTGCACCACTGAACTCCAGCCTGGGCAACAGTGCAAGAACGTGTCTCAAAACAACAACAAAACAGAAGGAAAAAAACACTAAACAAAAATAACGAATCATCTCAGGTGCTAAACACAGTGTCTGGCTCATGCCATAGTAAATGGTACCTTCTAGTATGTGTTAAATTACCCAAGCAAGTGCCTCGGGCATGCCTAGTAATTAATTATCAAAATGATCATACTTTCCTTTGGCAAAGGAAGTTAAGCGCTGGGTGTATGAAGCTCATTTTGCTCTGGTGTGGTTATTTCCCAGAGGCCTAAGCAGGTATCTGACAGTCATAATCCCCAGCCTCTCGTAAAAGCCACTAATTCTGGGTGGACATTGGAGACATTCTGCATGGTATTGCCAAGCGGGACCTCATCCTTTGCTACAAAAAGAGTCCCATGTCCTGCTGTTTCTTAGGTATCTAGATTTCCACTAGATCCAGGCATAGTGTACAAAGACAGCTGAGAAAATTGGAAGAGGTCACAGTTTCCATAGCCCAGATCTGTCAGAGCTAATATAGGGTTCGCTCATAGTGCATCTTCCATAAACGCCGTGGAGTGAAGGAAGGAATACAGGAATAAATGGACTTGAGATCTACCATGTAATGTCAGCATCTAGCATTAGATGTTTCTTGATAAACATTTTTGGAATGAAGGAGTGCATTCTAGGTTTGCTATCAGATCCTCACCATTGGGGCCAGGCCCTAGCACAGAGGGCTCTGATGAATATTTAGAGCAGAAATGAACTAGATCCAGTATTTCCCAGAAAACAGCTGAGCTTCAGTTGAGTTGCCCCCAACCCTTTCCTCATCTTATACTCAACAGTCCTTGGGTCCAGCCACCAGCCTGGCTTGGCCTTAGCCAGCTGGGAAAGGAATCTGGGAGAGAAAGCAAGTGAAGCTCCCCAAGATACACAATTGGAGAGTGTCTAGCCGGCTCTCCCGGAAGCTCTCAGATGCTGCTCTAGAGAAACACTCACACCCCAGATAGACTGAACTGGAAGGAGCCATCTGCAGTGATTTTGTGACACTGTCATGGAGCCCTCCTCTACATGGCTTTGGCATGAAATGCAACCACACCACACCACACACACACACACACACCACACACACACACAGAGCAGGCACTACGCCCTGCTGGACAGAATGGGCTACAGGGACATGCATGGGTAAACGCACCCTAGACAGCACGTGCATGTGGACGACATACACTCAGCTATGTCCCATCTCCCCAGGCCAGGCCCTGCCATCCTGTCTCAAACACACTTTGCCTCCGCCCCAAGCAGGCAGTGGGCAGTGGCCACAGACCACCGTGTGGTACCACCAAGCAATAACACTGTCTGTCACCACGGGGGACCCTCTCATGGATAACGGAACCTCTCCCAGCCAGGAGCTGAGGCTCAGCATTTACAGCAAGTGCAGGCTCAAGGACGAGTTATGTGTCCCCTCACTTCCTGGAGGCACCGGCGAGTTTTCCCTCTCTGTCCCTCCCGCCCACATCTGCCCATGGGCAGGCAGCCACCTCCTCCTCTGTCCCTGCTGGGATTGACTCCCCACTGGGAACCAGGAGGTGGCTTAGTGTGCAGAGTGGCCTGGTGTGCTGGCTGGACCGGTGTCCCTAAAAGCATCTGTGGATTGTGGCCAGGGCCCTCCTTGGCCCTCAGCAGTGCCCCAGGCCATGTGGCACTCTGAAGAGCATGGCCTCCCCCTGAGCCTTCAGTACAGCAGCTTCTCCATGCCTGCTTCCCGCAGGGGTCTCATGCCAGCCGAGCAATGGTGCCACCCACAGCATGAGCTCTGGGGCTGGCAGGTTGGAGGGACCAGACCTTAGAGTCCCAGACAGGCCAGCAGGGAGAACTGGCTCTGTTGGGGGTGATGAGGGCAGAGTCAAAACCCGAAAGCCTCATCTGTGCCGACTGCTCCCTCATTCACCCATCAGGTCTCCTGACACTGTCTGCGGGTGCTCCAGTGGCTGCATGGCCTGAGGGGAAGGACACGGGGCTGGCCTGTGGTTCCCCTTGGGTACCCTTCATGTACGGCTGAGGTGGCAGGGGTCAGGGATGCTGTGAGGCCCTGAAACGCTGCAGGAAAATGAGCCCCACAGTGAGCCCCCACCCCACGACGCCTAGCCCGGGCACACCAGGTCCTCCTGCCTGGGGAGCTGAGCCCCCGCCTGGGTACTCACCAGCTCCGGCAAGGCCTCACCCTGGCATGGTGGTGGTCGCCCCCTCTCAGACAGTGCTCCCCATCTGGAGAGGCCAGCGGCACTAATCAGCCGCCTGGCGTGGTGCAGGCCGAGTGCGACTGGGGTTTAATTGACACCAGGTGGCCCCTCCCCAGGGGCAGGCTGGGAGGCGGCTCTGCCGGGTTGGGAGGCCAAGCCTTGGGCAGGGGGGTTGCACCCAGACCAGGCCAGTTCAGGCCTCCCCAGGAGAGACAAGGGCAGTCAGGCAGTCGCCGGCCAGCCCTCCCTTCCTCTCCTGCCGGCTGCCTCCATGGCACGGCCCTGGCTTCCCCAGGCTCTGACCTTTCTTACATTTAGAGGTGGCAGCGGCAGTGGCAGCGTCTGCCCAGGAGGAGGGTGGCTCAGGTTTCCCCCAGCTGGCTGGGGGCAGCCAGGAGTGAGAGTGCTGGGTCTGCAGGGACCAGGCTGTGCCTGCCAGATCCTGAGCGAGGCCACCCATGGCAGTCACAAAGGATCCTGTGAACTATCTTTTATTGGACACTTACTATGTGCCAGGCTGGAATCTCATGTGCCCCCAAAAGGTGGGTATTTATTAACCCACTTTGCAAGATGAAGAAACAGACACAGAGAATCTAAGCTTCTTACCCAGGGTCACACAGCAGAAGAGCCAGAATGCACATCCAGCTCTATCTGACAAGGAGTCAGGGATTTTCATCACCACCAGCAAAGTAGATATCATCCCCAGTTTTGAGAAGAGAAAATTGAGGCTCAGTGAGGGGAAGCCAGTTCTCAAAGTCACACAGCAAAGTATGGAATGTGGATTTGCCACTAGGTGGGTTGGTCCAGGTTGCCAGGGAAAATAAAGCCCACTGCTGAAATACAGCCTTCTTCCCTGACCCACATGTGTTCCTGCTGATAATAGGGCTCCAGGTTTGAGCCATGGTTTGGGGTTTAGGAGAAAGAGCACTGGACATAGAGTCAGAAGACCTGTGCCCAACTTGCTGTGTGACCTTGAGCAAGTTACTCCACCTCTCTGGGCTTTGCTGCAGCTGCTGTGAACCCCAAATGGGACACCACATGGAAAAAGCTTTGTGACTTGGGTTCACAGGGCAGGATGAGGAAATACTGAAGTAGCCCCAGTCTGCCCTGGGATCCCTTCCCAAAGGCCCCCGCCTCTGTTCCTTCTCTTTATTACTGGAGAGTGGGACCCAGCAGCAAGGAGCTCACAGCTTCCACAAGCGCACAGGGTTCAGATTCTAGCTCCAATCTGAATCTCACAAAGTGCATGACCTTCAGAAACCATTTTATTCTCTAGTCTCAATCTCTCCTTTCTAAAAACGTGCTCCCAGGTGCTCCCACCCTGCCTGGGCTTCGTGAAAATAAGTGAGGTGATACTCAGCACCTGCCTCTTAATTCAGCAACATTTATCAAGCACCTACTAGACATGGGTCACTGTGCTGGGGATATAACTTTTACAGGAACAATATTCTTGTAAAAACAAAGCCAGTTGACCAGGTGCAGTGGCTCACACCTCTAATCCCAGCGCTTTAGGGGGTCAAGGCGGGCAGATCACCTGAGGTCAGGGGTTTGAAACCAGCCTGGCCAACATGGTGAAACCCCATCTCTACTAAAAATACAGAAAAATCAGCCGGGTGCAGTGGCGGATGCCTGTAATCCCAGCTACTCGGGAGGCTGAGGTAGGAGAATCACTTGAACCCCAGAGGCGGAGGTTGCTGTGAGCCGAGAGCATAGCATTGCACTCCAGCCTGGGTGACAAGAGTGAAACTCCGTCTCAAAAAACGAAAGAAAAAACAAAGTCGGTCATTCGTGCCTTTGTGGTGGAGACCGACAAATGTAAAATTCCCACAAAAATAAATACGTAATTCCTTGTGTTATGTGCTCGACAAATAGAAGTAGCTATTATTATTGTTGTTTATGCACTTATTCCACAGAAGAACTCACTGAGCACCTACTGTGTACCCGGTCCTGTTCTAGTCATTGGGGATATAGCAGTGACCAAAACAAACAAAGCTGTCCGCTTTAAGAATTAACCATGACAATAAATAGCAATAATTAACCATGACAACATACAGCAATAATAATTATTGTATTACTATTCTCAGGCAAAACAGGTTACCCCCAACACATTGGATGCCCTGGTTTTCTCACTGGTAGAATGACATACCCGTCTGCTGCCATCTGGCCCTCTGGGAGCTCCAAACTGGAGCATGGGATTCCAGAATGTTCTTAGGTCTGATCCTCAGTGAAGCTCATGGGCTCTTTTTGGTCTGTCTTGCGGGCACTCTGGCAGGCGGCTCATCCCCCTGGCATAGACCCAGACCCCACGTGGGTTGGAAGAAGCTGAGCCTGTGACTCAGCCAGCCTGGCTTGTCAGGCAGAGATGAGAAGGGAGCAGGCAGCTGGTTGGGCTGTTAGCCATGGGGGCCTCCCGAGCTAGGCATGGGGCAGGTGACTGGGCACAGAGTGAGGCTTTGGGATGACAAGGCCTCTCAGCTCAGGTGACTGCACCCTGGCCCATGGTGGTTGTGGGTGTCTCTGGTAAAGGTAATTTTTTTTTTTTTTTTTGAGATGGAATCTCACTCTGTCACCCAGGCTGGAGTGCAGTGGTGCAATCTCGGCTCACTGCAACCTCTGCCTCCTGGTTCAAGCAATTGTCCTGCCTCAGCCTCCTGAGAAGCTGGGACTGCAGACAGGTGCCACCATGCCTGGCTAATTTTTTTATATTCTTAGTAGAGACGAGGTTTTGCCATTTTGGCCAGGCTGGTCTCAAACTCCTGACCTCAGGTGATCCACCTGCCTCAGCCTCCTAAAGTGCTTGGAATACAGGTATGAGCCACCATGCCTGGCCAAGAATATTCTTTTTTTTTTTTTTTTTGAGACGGAGTTTCGCTCTTGTTACCCAGGCTGGAGTGCAATGGCGCGATCTCGGCTCACCGCAACCTCCGCCTCCTGGGTTCAGGCAATTCTCCTGCCTCAGCCTCCTGAGTAGCTGGGATTACAGGCACGCACCACCATGCCCAGCTAATTTTTTGTAGTTTTAGTAGAGACGGGGTTTCACCGTGTTGACCAGGATGGTCTCGATCTCTTGACCTCGTGATCCACCCGCCTTGGCCTCCCAAAGTGCTGGGATTACAGGCTTGAGTCACCGCGCCCGGCCCAAGAATATTCTTATAAGAATCGCAGAGTATGCTGCCTTGTGAGGTAATGAGCTCCCCATCAATCAAAGAACTCCAGCAGGAAGCTATAGAGGGGACTCCAGAATTGCCTATTCATTTGTCAGATTTACCCATAAGACTGAGCTCTATCTTTAGGTCTTGTTTACACCATCATACCTCCAGTGTGTGGCACAGAGCACATCACATAGTAGTCGGCAGATATTTCTTATATTCATATACGTACAGATCAGAATGTTCTGACTGTGACCACATGAGACTTTGACAACAAGTAGCCCTGCCATTTTATTCATTTGTCTCCTCATTCAACAAATATATCCTGAGCGCCTGCTATGCACCAGACACTCTTTTAGGCACTGGAGATATAGCAGTGATCAAGACTGACAAAAATTTCTGCCTTTGTGAAGTCTACCATCTCATGATTGGACTTTCATTTTTATTTTTTAGAGGCGGGGTATTAGTCTGTTCTCACATTGCTAATGAAGACATACCCAAGACTGGGTAATTTATGAAGGAAAGAAGTTTAAGGGACTCACAGTTCCACATGGCTGGGAAGCCCTCACACTCATGGCGGAAGGCAAAGGAGGAGCAAAGTCACGTCTGACATGGCGGCAGGCAAGAGAGAGTGTGAGCGGGGGAACTCCCTTTATAAAACCATCAGATCTCATGATACTTGTTCACTATCATGAGAACAGCATGGGAAAGACCCACCCTTGTGATTCAATTACCTCCCATCAGGTTCCTCCCGCAGCATATGGGAGTTATGGGAGCTACAATTCAAGATGAGATTTGGATGGGGACACAGCCAACCCATATCAGACAGGGTCTTGCTCTGTCTCCTACAGGCTGGAGGGCAGTAGTGTGGTCATGGCTCACTGCAGCCTCAAACTCCTGAGCTCAGGCAATCCTCCCACCTCAGCCTCCTGAGTAGCTGGGACTACAGGCATGTGCCACCACGCCTGGCTAATTTTTTCATCTTTTTCAGAGACGGGGTCCCATTCACGATTGGACTTTACACTAGGTCATTTCCACAGGTGTTCATCATGTTAATCACAATGCTAGCCATTGCCTTAGGTTTCTGAACCTTGGCCCTATTAACATATGGTGGATAACTCTGGTGAGGGCTGTCCTGTGCATTGCAGGATTTTAGCAGCATCCCTGGCCTCTACCCACTAGATGCTAGTAACAACCTCCTTTCTGCCTCCTTCCTCATCCCAAAATGTCTTTAGACACTACCAGAGACCCCGAAGGAGTGATAACATTGTCCCTGGTTGGAAATCATAGTCCTCTATTAAGCACCAACTATGGGACAGGCACTTTACATTCATTAATTTGCTTAATCTCTACAACAACTCCAGGAGGCAGGGATAATTGCTATTTCTATTTTACAGAGGAGGAAACAGAAAAGACCAGTCACTTGCTTATGGCTCCCCATCTGTGCACCTAGACCTCTGATGCACAGCTTCCAGCACCCCCTGTGCAGAAGGTAGAGGATGAACAGCCTGAGCCCATGCACAGCTGCAGAGACCAAGCCTAGAGCAGTGTGTCTCTCACCTGGACTCTTGTAGATTTCTGTTCTGGTTCCACTCTGTGGTCTCTTGCAGAGCACAGGGATTGGGACCTTCAGAGAAGCGGCAACCACTAGAAATGTACTGCAAGTTGAAGATATAATTAAGTTTTCTAGCAGCTGCATTCAAAAGGTAAAAAGAAGCAGGGAACATTAATTATAGTAATTAATACACTTTAACCCAGTATCGTGGAGAACGATCATGTCAGCATGTAATTAATTAAAAAATTATTAATGAGATAGTTGAGTCTTTTTTGGCACCTCATTGAAATCTGGTGTGTGTTTTGCACTTGCAACACGATTCAGACCAGACGCATCTCAAGGGTTCAGTAGCCACATGTGGTCAGTGGTTCCTGTTTGGTGAATGCAGATCTGGAGAGTTTTGTTGTCCGAGGGAATGAAGAGAGGAGGGGAGATGTTCTCAGCAAAATGTCCCTGAGCCCACAGATTCTGAGGGCTGTCACATTCTACTGCTGTTTTCTGTGACCTGTCTCTCTCTGATGCTCGGCTGGGCTCCTCTGTGTTTATCTGTCTTTCTGTCCCTGGAGCTGAGCTCC